AATTTGCAAATATCTTTTATTATTGAAAATAATAATGGATGTTTCTACGCCATATGTTATATACTTTGATACAAAACCGTTTGCGCGTTACCTAAGAAACGTTTTTCAAAATAGAGTATATTTTAGCTGTAAATATTACCCCAATTATTCCAAATATTTTTACTGATGCTTTTTGGAGCAAGCTAAAGTTTCAATAAAACAGAATTTCAATGTAAGTTTGGATAAAATTTTACGGTTGTCAAATTTTCAGCCAATTTATATACTGCAATATTATTCCTCAGTAAGTTTAATGTACAGGAAGAGAAAAGAAAAATACACGTATACATTTAGTTTTGTAATATGGCGTTTATTAGACAGTTAATATCTGCAATAGTTCAAAGAATGAAAGAATGTACTGTTTTATTCATGGATTTTAATGTCAATGGTTTGGTTCACATTGAAGAACACAGAAAAGTAAAACTCACAAAAATAAATTGTCCTGTAATCCAGTTGTAGAGACATTAGGTTATTTCGAAGCAGAAGAGATGAAAAATGAGCAATGCCCTCGCTAGGACTCGATCCACGGACCCCTCGAATTCGCGTCGAGCGTACTGACCACTATAGCACGAAGGAATGCTACGTAAGAAGGCGGGAGAAATACTTTATAAACTTCCCCTTTTAAAGGGCGACTACGGTTTTAGGGGTCCCAGTCGCCAAATCCTGTGATGAAGAATCATCACGGGAGAAATACTTTATACAGTAGGATAAAACTTTATTTATCTGGTATAACTCGAACCGCAGGCCATCTGGATAGTCGGATTATTTTAGTTTTTGATTATAGAAAATATCTGTTTATGGGTACAGATGACTTCATGGAGGACATTTTAAAGAAGACTGGAACCTAATGTGTTCAACCTATTTTAACCCTCGGGTGCAATTGGAGAGGTGAAAAGTCTGGATGACTAGATTATCTGTTCTTAGTAGATCAAATACTTCTTTACTGTAATAATAGTGAAAGGATTTTATTTTTTGTTTAACCTATTTTATTTCAACAAATTTATACAGTTAAAAAAGTTTTGTGTCTTTGCCTACTTTAAACAAAATGTAAGGCATAGTCATTTCGAAATCGAATGAAATTATTTTTCGTTTCTCTAAGAATTGACACTTTCTAGTATTTCAAGTAGAAAAAAACTAGTTCCAACGCAGATCGTATGACTAAATGACGTGTTTTTATTCTTATTGTGTTAAAATAAAATAAAGAAACTGTTTTTATTACTAAAAAAATTACATAATCAAATATTTTTTTTTAAATTTGCTATTTGTGTAAAGAATAAATAATATAAAATATACAGCAATTTTATTAAATTATTATCATTTAGCTTTTGAAGTAGATCCTGAATTTTCCTTTGTATTATCTTCTATTTATAGATGAAGTTGAATTTTTCTTTATTCTTCTGTTTATTTTTTTTTTCTTCCTCATTTTTATATTTTCTTTATAATCCCTCTTTTATATATTTCTTATATTTGCAACCGTTGATGCTCAAACTCCCTGTTCATTTTCAAGGGTTTAGTTTTATTGTTTTTCTCTTTGTTAACCGCATTAACTTCGACCTTTATCATCACAACAACGCACTTCCTTTTCCACAGTTTATTAAATAAGTAAAAAGATAATATCGTAATACTTAGAAACCATATAGAAATACTTAGAAACGGTATATTTTCTTCGAGAATGCAAAACGAATCGCATATTTGCACACAAAAGAAACAAATAATAAATTAATTGAAAACATACATTTAAGAATAACAGAAAGTAACTACCTTTGATTACTTCCCACACAGATGAAAAAAATTACTTGCTTAAATAAAGAAAAGACTTAACATAAGTAGACATTTTTAATCTGTTTTTAGGAAAGAAGTTTTGCGATGTCTAAGTAATTATTCGCGAAGTAAACAAGGAACGATAAGCCTATATATACAATAAGTAAATGCTTTTCGATTAATGTTCATAAGCTGCGTATTTTACAAACGATATGTGATAATACAGTATTGAAAATACATACAAAGATAGGAAGATACAGTGGATGGACAAAAATATGGAAACACCTTGTGAAATGCATGTTTGAAAAGAAAGATTGATTTTAATGAAATATGTAGGTGGCGCTGGTGTTTTTGACTACTGACGCCACCTATACAACTTCATAAATGTGCTATACAGTTCAGTTGTTGTCGGAGTACTGTTATGTGAGGTTGTCATTGCATTATGTCAGAGTTAACAGACTTCGAACGTGGGGAAATTGTTGGAGCACGTATGGTAGGTGCTTCCGTAAGCAAGGTAGCCGAGGTGTTTTGTGTTTCAAGAGGTACTATATCAAAGATTTATTCCGCATATTTGAAAAGCGGAAAAACATCATCTGCTAAATCACAGCGCCGACGAAAGTGTGTCCTGAGTGATCGTGACAGACGATCATTAAGGGAAATTGTGACGAAAAATAAGAAGACCACAGCTGCAAAAGTTACTGCTGAAATGAATGCTGTGTTACCGAACCCTGTGAGTACCAAAACAATTAGAAGGGAGCTTCATAAACAGGGAATTGCTGGCCGTGCTGCAATTGAGAAGCCACTCATCAGTGATGCTAATGCCCGTAACAGGAAAAGGTGGTGTTTAAGTCATAAAGCCTGGACTATAGAGCAGTGGAAGCGAGTAATATGGTCTGACGAGTCTTCTTTCACATTGTTTCCCACTTCTGGCCGAGTTTACGTCTGGAGAACGCCATCTCAAGCCTATAATACAGACTGCTTGTTGCCAAGAGTGAAACAGGGCGGGGGATCTGTTATGGTTTGGGCAGCCATATCGTGGTTCTCTGATAGCCCCATGATAACTGTGTCAGGGCACATGACTGCCAAGACTTACGTGAACATTTTGGCCGATCAAGTTCATCCCATGGTACAAACTTTGTTTCCCGATGGTGATGGTGTCTTCCAAGACGACAAAGCCCCTGTTCACACAGGTCACATTGTCTAGGACTGGTTTTCTGAGCACGAGAATGAGTGTCCCATCTCCCCTGGCCATCACAGTCACCAGACCTGAATATTATCGAACCTTTGTGGTCTACATTGGAACGGAAAGTGCGTTCTCGTTATCCACCGCCAACATCGTTATCTGAACTTGCCACCGTTTTGCAGGAAGAATGGTATAATATTCCCTTGGCAAACATACAGGAACTGTATTTATCCATTCCGAGAAGACTGCAAGCTGTTTTGGATGCCAACGGGTTTCCTACACCATATTAAGCAAAGAAACATGTTTTTTTAAAGGTGTTTCCGTATTTTTGTCCAACCTCTGTATATTTGCCAAATGATATCTGCTGTCGTATGTTAAACCTGATTATATGCAACAAAATAAAGGGTTTTCGTTTTGAATATGAACTTGACTCGTCGAGATATCAAGACTAAATCGTTCAACTGATAAATTTGAAATTTACTATTTCTTGATCTTTAATCTTTTAATATAGATACACATTACATCGCATATATTTTGAAAAACAGATCTACTCCAATGCTTTTTCTTTTGAATACGTTTTCAGATGTTTTGATGATCAGCAATTTGACATTTTCATCATTAATTTTAAGTTTGATACTCAGCATTTTGAAAGTAATAAATTTCGTGACGAATAAATATTTTTTTTTCTTGAAATTATCTTAATATTATTATTATTGAAATTATCTTATTCAAAGCAATAAAAATAAGTATTCAAGTCTGGTCATTCGAGAGATAAAAAAATTCTTTTTGTTCCACTCTGATTTTTAAGACCTACATTATCAACAAGCTCCATTCAATCTAAAAATATGTTCAACTAATTCATTTCCTCAAGTCCTCCAGCGGCCAAGCAGTAAAGTCGCTGAACACTGGTTGTTCGGTCCGAGGTTCGAATCCTGCGAACGACCTGGCTTGCATGGGCGTTTTAGTAGTTTTCCCCATGTGTAACGTATATGTGAGCCAGTTCCCCTTAGAAAGTTCTCCACGAAGGCATCTCTCCCCTTAGTCTAGATAGCCCTATGTGTTTTGCCGTAATCTCAATAAACCATAATAAACCATTTCCTCATATTTAACTCATTTATACGGGAATACAAAACAAAATTTGATTCATACGAGTAATCTTAGCGCATTCATGTGGTAAATAAGATTTTATCAGAATGAGAAATACTCAATTATAATAACATTCACTAAAGATAAGTTAAAACTTTTTTTTATATATTTTATAACATTAACCCCATTACTCTTTTTCAGAGCAAAAATGATTGGTTGTAATTAATTAAATATTTTCTAATTCTGCTATCCTTGGTAAACTATTTAAGGAAATTCTTTTATGAACAATCTCAAAGAATAATTTAAATTTCGCATCTGAACGTTTTCTAGATTCAAATCTTCTGAAGTTTAGTTCTAATATACTTTTAATAGCTGAAAATACGATCTTTCAGATTATTTCTAAGCAATTGCTTAAACAGTTACTTTTAGTAAGCTATTTGATATTTGTCTCGTTCAACTGTCTTAAAGACGTAAATACGTGTAGAAAATTTCTTGTCTTGTAAGAAGTTTTGACGTTTTCGTCTAAAAAATATCAGAAATTGATGACGAATTCTCCTGGATTTAAGCGAGCTTATTTCATTAATTCAACGGACTTCATTTAAAATTATACAAGAGACTTTAGATTGATGCTCTAAAACATTTTTATATGACAATTCTGGTATTAAAAAATGGTTCTTAAAATGGTTCTTGAAACGTTATTTAAATATAACACGCACCTTAACTGCATTAATGTATGCTATTTCGTGAGCTAATTTAAACATCAAGTTGTGGTGAGACTTTTAATCTTCAACCAAATAGTTTAAAAAAAGCCTCAGTTTGTTGAGTAAATTATTAAATAAGATTTTTTATAATTTAGTAAACTATTGAACAAGATTTCTGATAAATTAGCTTAACATATTATCTAATAAGACTGAAAAAGCAAAAATGTACTTACCGCTTTGCACAAGCAGCGAACACAGAGGTTGGCATTTGGTGTTCTTAAATATTTGTACCATGTCTCGTTGATATCATATTCTTGATTAGCAACCGTGCATCGTGCCTTGAAACTTCCAGGCGAAGGTAAAGTAGGTGGAGGCGCTCCTAAAGAAGCTAAAATAAATTTGAAAAAAAATCACATTAGCCTCTACCTTCTAATTAAATCTGCTTATCTATCTACACCTGTTTCGCTGTCTGTTTACTTGTATTTATCTACATGCACATCTATCTACCTGTACCTGTATTCATCAGCCTAGAAATTTATTTAAACATACTTGTATTTACCTAACTATTTATGTAACTATACGTGTATATTTCTAAGTATTTATACAAATCTATATCTATTTATTTATAGATATTTGCATTTATTTGTACTCATCTATATATAGCCATCTACCAGTCTCTTTCAGTCTGTAACCTGTGAGTATTCATTTACTTTCATCTATATAGTCATGATTATCTGTCTACCTCTAGCTATGTACACCTATATGAACAATTTGTACAATTATCTTGTACAATTATACTATATACAATACGAAAAAATGTAATTGAGTCATTAGGATTTTTTTGAAGCAGGAGTCACGAAAAATGAGCAATGCCGTCGCCGGGACTCGAACCACGGACCTCTCTCTACGGACCCACTACACCACGAAAGCATGCTAAGAAGGTGGGAGAAATACCTTATATACTTCTCCTTTTAAAGGGCGACTGGGGATTAGGGTACTCAATCGAAAAATCCTGGTAGTGGAGAATCGTCATTCCCCCCCCCATCTTTTTTAGTTCGGGCGCCAATGTCGAGTCATTAGGTTATTTTGAAGCAGGAGACATGAAAAATGAGCAATGTCCTCGCCGGAACTCGAACCGCAGACCTCTCGAATACGCAACGAGTGTGCTGACCACTACACCACGAAGACATGCTAAGAAGGCAGGAGAAATACCTTATAATCTGTTTAACTTTTCTTTAGTCTTTCATGAAATTATTTCCATCTACCTTAACGGAAATACTGTAATGGAAAAACGCTTATACCAAATACGATTTTTGTTCGGTAGAAAATTTCAGATCGATCTATTTAGAACTAAAAAATGCTATGCTCATCAGTTAAACTCTGAGGAGTATCAAGTCCGTTAGATGGGCCGTAGAGAAAAGTAGAGTTTTATTTACTTTACATCAAAGCATGGTACTGAATTGGAAATTTTGTATCATAAAATATTAAGAATATTGCACGTGGAATTAATTTAAATTAAATGTGGGTTTCTACAGTATTATAACTGTGCAAAAATGAAATCGCTGTAAAGAAGAAAATCCAAAAACATTTTCAAAAAAAGGTTTCGTAAGTATGACAGATGATACTGATGAAAGATTAATTGCATTTTAATTAATACATAAATAAGGAGAGAATATTTTGGTCCAATCTATGATGATACATCATTGCAGAACTTCTAGACAAGAAAGCTAGACAACTATGCACTAAAAATAGAAAGTTTACGTAGGACGTTATTTGTTAGACTAAATTAATAATTATTTGAATGAAACTTATTTTTTAAGAACTTTATATATGATTATGTGCATCTGTTCAATGATATGTTTCAGCATACAAAGTTAATCTGGATGACGATAATTAAAAATCCAGTAGGTTTTCCCATTGAATGCCCTACACAATAATCATGAAATCATCGTAATAGAGTTAAACATTTATGCACTCTTACTAAACTGATATGAAGTATATATTGGGTCATATAAAAAAATCTCCGCGCTTTTTTGGTACATTTTTGAACAAAAATTTTCTTTATTTGAAAATCAGTTTTAATCAGCTACGATATTGACCATTATTATCTATGAGCTTTGGCCATTTTTCGGTAGCTTCATATTACATCGGTGTAGAACTTCTGTGGTTTATCGTCGAAAAACTTGGCCAAGTGATTTTCAGCGGCGCTTCGGTCTGCCAGTTTTTTACCATCAAGAGAGTTTTGCACAGACAGAAACAAATGGTAGGCAGATGGTGCAAAGTCCGGGCTATACGGCGTGTGCATCAAAACTTCCCAAACGAAGTTCCGTCAATTTGTTCCGAGTCATCAAAAATGTGTGTAGCCGCACATTATCATGATGGAACACAACTCCCTTTCTGTTGGCCAAGTCTGGTCGCCCTTTCTGGACTGCTTCGTTCAAACGGTCAACTTGCGTACAGTACAGGGCCGAATTTTAGGTTTCGCCAGGTTGCAGCAGCTCATAATGGACGATTCTCTTCCAATCTCGACATCGAAATTTCAGAAATGGAATCAACCAAACCACTGCTGGGTTTCGTTCACTCAGAGCATTCTCACCGCATACTTCACAGATTTTTCGGCATGTTTTTGAAGCGTTTTTATAGTAAAAAGCATCACATACCGTGTTTCTTCAGATATTTCACTCATTTTCAAACCAAGATATTTTTAGACACGAGCAACAAATTAGAAAACTCTCTTCACAAACAATGGAAGCTGAATGTCACCTTTTAAGCACATGTTCGTTAGAGACAATCGGGTGAGTGCTGCCGGATATATAGGCATTAATACCATCTAGTGGCAAAAAAGCGCGGAGACTTTTTATATTACCCAATATAATATTGGAAAAGAGACATTTTATTTACGACAATAGTTATTTATGTTAATAATTTAATTTTTGTTGTCATCGGATACATCAAATAGGATGTAAAATAACTGCATACATAAACGTAGCTGACATATGGTGATTTATTACATAAGATTTTTATTGTTGAGTTTTAGAATTTTATCTCTTATTTTTATTAATCTCGAATAATTCTGTTGTTGATACTTATCGCTTTTAGTCTGAGTAAATTACCATTCACAATGAACAGACGTTTTTGCGAACATACGATCTTTCATGCCTCTTTCACGACATAAAAGTGCATTATTTAGGGCAGGGTAAATTAAATCATTTGAAATGCCCTTTTACTTGCTTTTGCTAATATTTTAAATCAGGTGCTATTTTATACCCTGGGCAGAGTAAACGAAATAATTTTTTAACAACTTATAAGTAGACAATGGCAAGATTTCCTGAGTCTTTTTCTTGTATATGCTTTCGTTGGCATCTAGAATAAAATTCAATAACTATGATGCCATTTTTTAGTAATATATAAACTGCAATATTCTTTGCACATCGCTCTGAAATTTTGTTCAAATGGTAACACACTTTTTAATACTTTAATATTTTTCTCTGTTTATACCATTTTAGTTCAAAAAAGGAGTGCAGAAATGAGCGCCACAGCTTTTAAGCTGAATTTTGATTTTACTTGAAAGTAAAGGTTTAACTTTTTAAGTAGGATAAGTAGGAAGAAATAGATATTATTTTTATGAAAGTAGAAAAATAAAACTGCTGTATAATTTTTAAATCTCGCGCTTTAAAAATGCTTTATTTTCAATGGTAAACGCTTTTAGGTCTTAGATTCTATTCTGAAGTTTTCAATTTGCAAGTTTATTTCAATTATAGCTATTTTTTAATACAATCCGTAATGAAAGGACTAAGTTTTCAGGAATCACATTTTTTCCATCTGCTAATAATTTCATTAAAATCCAGATATTTCGCAGAGTTCAATGAACAACAAAAACAAAAAATAAAGGAGGGGGGTCGGAAGATTAGCAGAGCTATGTTGTATGAGATTATATTTATAGGCAATTTATTCCTATTTCCATGGTTTGTTTAATTTTTTTTTGTATTCATTTTGTCATTTTTCCGCAAGATGAAATGAATTTGAAACAATTACTATAAAATCCGATTAAATGTCCTTGAATTTAAATACGGTTTACGATGGGCACTTAATCTTCTGACTGAAAGTTTTCAGCAACTTTCGAGGTTTCCAAATAGCGTCATTATTTATCGATGACAGCTAGACTGTTAGTGATAAGAATTAATAGTGTCCACACATACACTGAGATGGATGGCCATTGGTTTGCGTTTAGATGCGGAGAAAGCAGACGGGCGGGGACAAGAGGTAATTGTTGTAATGAATGGAAGAGCAGAAGAAGTCTAGTAAATTGTTCTTGCAGTAATGCAACTTGCAGGTGAATTAGGCAATGGAATGAGTTATTGTACATTAAACTTTGAAATATGTTGAAGAGCTTTAGAAATTTGTATTAGACTCTAGAATTTTACTGTTTGTTAGCATGAGTACATAGTTCGTTGCTGCATTGTCGAGACATTTAATTCCATTTAAAACAATGATACCGTTTCTAAGAAAGAAAGAATTTTAAGATATTTGTGAAGGGGAGGAATTCAAGCGATTTAATTTTCCTACTCTGAAAGTTTCAACGAACAAATAATTAGATTAGATTAAGTATACTGAACTATAGAAAAGCAAACTAAGCTATATTTTTTCTCAAATGGAATGCCTTGATGGATGAATTTCTAAAGGAAACTCTCTTCTATTATCCTGCTGATTTTAATAAGATGTGTATGCTCAAGGTATTTCACAATGCAGATTAGATCTCCTTCTTAGGTTTGCATTCAGCTATGCAGGCGGATTTAAAAGGATGTAAAATTAAGTACCTTTTGAACATTTGACAGTAAGTCTATGATTTCAGTTTAAAAAAAGAATCAAATAAGGTAAGCTTTCAGGCTACGAAATTATTTACCAAATGCTGCATTTTAGTAAAAATTCGCGGAATTTGAATTTTTGTAAAGTTCTGTACTAGACAATAGGCTAAAGACTTGCTAGGAAAAAGAGGTTAAGCAATATTTGAATTTGATTGGGGGAAGGAACTGTCAAAGCTGAGTAGCTTAAACCATTTTGATTTGATTAAAGTACGGCAAGAGCCGGATATAAGAGGTTGTATAAAAGCAAATTTCGAATTTTAGCGTTCCACAGATAAGAATCTTTAACCTAAGCTTTCATATTAATATTTTACTCTCGTAAGACGTAACTACCTTCAACAATATTATATGCAGACCTCAAAAATATTAGTTACTGATATCTCGGATAATTTTCATCGTATGATGAAACTGCTTCCCTCAATTCAGCTAAGGAAAACAAATTTTCTTGCTGACATTTTCACTTGAAGAACATATGTAAAATTTTAAATTTTGTATACATTAAGATCGTTTCATGGCGATCTGTTAGTCTCACTTATTTGCTTCATTTCTTAAATTAAAGCCATAAGTCTGTGACTAGTCATTCAAGATGTTAGTCGTTCATATTGACTGAATCACGCAAAGGAATTTTGAAGTCTTATTTTCAGTCTTTTGCAAAGTCTTGCAGTCTTTTTATCCTGTTATCTTTCAAAAACGTAAGTCGACTCTTCTGCAGTAGTTAGTTACACTAAATATGAATGATATTAACCATTGAAATTGGGATCATGGAACAGACAAAATAACATGCGCATTAAACTTAAAGTCGATGAGAAAAATATATATGAAATATTTCCTGATGACTCTAGGAAATTTGATAAATATATGATTAGAATTAAAAATACCACTTACATATACGAGTCATTAGAAATCTTTCAGGAGCAAACAGGAAAAAGAAATGGAAAGTTTATTTTTATTTCAACCGTAACTCTGATACTGATTTGTACCCCAGTATCCCTTAAATGTCCTTCAAGTTTCCCTACACACACACATATATATATATACTTAGAACAGATATTTCAAACCAACAACTTAAACATCCTATTCGTCATCACAACAATGTCTATCAAGTTAGATATAGATATTCTGGCAATAAAAAATGCGTACGGACATTGGAAATGTTGTATTCATATTTTTCTTCCTAATACTTATCTAATGGACTGAAACATATGTAATTTTATGAAAAGCAGTAGTAAAATATACGTCATATTGCAATCTTTAATAAAAGTTAAACCCTGTATGCTGCTCTTGTCATAATTCCTTGTCATATACAGCACATACCCTGCTATATTTTCATTAGTCCACTCTTCGAAAAGTTGGACACCCCTGCTTTAAATCAAATAACTAATAAATAAATACTTAATGATTATGTTAATAATTTTCACGTTTACATAATTTTTAGTTTAAAATTTGTATGATTGCCTAAAACTATACACATATAGTAATCCAGGAAAGAAACTCGTATTTATATGCATTATTTACGTAAACCTTACTTTCTAAAGTTTAGGTTTATTTACTTTAATATTTCTATGTACGAACTATGTCGTAACTACCTGAATCAAAGCCTTTTAAGGTGAACATCTCCCATAGACGGCAGTCCCTAAAAGTGAACAGTACTCCTTAAAATATAAATAAAGATCGTTAATAACGATAATCGCATTAAAGCGGCCACCTCTGCAGAAGACTAAAGACTAAAATAGTTAGAAACTTTATGGAGGTTTCTTAAATTTATATAAAGATCTGACCTGGAAGTTAAGAATAAGAGGAACTGCCTCAAGTTTTAGGTAATTAGGCAATTACATAAAATAATTGTCATGTTATAGTTCTTGTCTGTATTGTAATCTCAATACACGACACTAACTTCAAAGGCATTTAATTTTCAATGAGTAATTTTCAGCTGTTATTTTGTAAAATTTGCTTGCTTGTATGGTTAAAATGCAAACAACCCTTTAAAGATATTATAATTTAAAACCAGCCTTTCGACAAAATTCTTAAAGGAAATCAGTATAGGGTGAAAAAATCTTTGAATAAGCTAGTAAATCATCGCTATAATGAAAGTTATTAATCAACATGAATATATTATAAATAGATTGTAATGTGCATAAATAACTACATACCTAGAACTCCAATGAGCAACAAAAGAAGAATATGCGAAACGTGCGCTGCATTCTGTGGAGAAGTATTGATGCTTTGACTCATTCCATGATTTGGAGGAATAACTGAAAACAGAAAATTAGAGGCTCTTATTTCTAATCATTTAATTTAATTATGTGTGATCTTTACGATTAAAGGTAAATGCTCACTTTTGATCAAAGACAAAGGTGTGAGAACTAAAATCAGAGAATCATTTTAAGCATGAATGGAATAATCCTAAGTGCATACGAACTGTCATATATGCTATGAATCACAGATACTTCACCATTGACATTTTGGAGATGGTCAAAGTTTTTCTCACAGAAGTAATTAAGCACTATGAAAACAGAATATATAGGCGCCACCAAAGATTTTTCAAACAGAAAAATTATAAGTTTTACATCTTGTAAACCATTCAACTTCTGGAGAAGATAAGGATTACAAAATAATTCATTTACATTTCTGTCTTTGTTGTTTCTGTGGTCGTTCTGTCGTTGAAAGTCATATGAAGCAGTACTTTAATGAGGCTAATATGTTAATATCTTTCGTTTAAGTATTAACAACAAAACTCGAGTAGAACTAGACAAGAACTTTTCTCTGTCTGTCTTCAGGGTGCGGATTCTAAATGCATTAATAATTACCAGATTTTCGAGGTCAGAACAACCATTAGGAAAGTAATGCTGGACATCAGTTTGTTGTGTCTAGATCTGCAATTTCCATCAGTCTGCACGCGTACTTTTCAAAACATTTTTCTTCTGAGTACACAAAGATAAAAACAACTGTCCTATGTCTGCTACAAACGAGTTCGTAAATATTCTGTAAAAAAGCTTTTAATAGTTCAGCTAGAAGGAGACAGCTGATATTTTCTTTTACACCGACACAGCCATTAAGGCCAAGTTAGGTTTCTCAACTTTTACATTCCAGTGCCTAAAGCCTATTATAATTTTTAATTGCTACAGATCCACCTGAAAAAAAAACTATCCTAATGTAGAACATTCCCAAACTTGTAAATATTTTGCACTAAAATTCTTTTTCTGCCAAAATGAACGAAACATATTCAAATTCAGATATCCTATTTACATTGTGAAATAAATAATGAGGAGTGCACATTTGCACTTTTTATTCCGCATTGCATACAAACTGACATTTAATCGTTAGTTAATATGCTTCAGCAATTTTGTGCAGAGCGAGATAAATTCTTGCCTTCTTCTTTATGATGAATATTTGTCAGCATATTTATGTTGCTTAAGCTTTTAGGCATCACACATTAGACATGGAATGTAATTCTTGGCTTTTGTGTTTATGATGAATAATTGTCAGCATATTTATGTTTGTTTAAGCTTTCAGGCATTACACATGGAATGTAACACTTAAGTTTACTTTAATTATTGGAATCAAAAATACTTGTGAAAGTTAAGAAATAAATATTTTATTTGACTGTAAAATACTGTGAAGAAAGTAAAAATTATAGAAAATATTTTGCAATTTGTTAATATCGTTTTTCAGCTACTGATTTGTTTTTAGATTTGCTTTAATTCTATGTATATTTAATGCCTTAAAACGTTATCTTAAGAAACGGCCCACCAGCGGCTGAGCGGTTGAATCGCTCAACACTGGTAATTCGGTCCGAGGTTCGAAGCCCGCGAAAGGGCTGGTTTCATGGGCATTTTCGTGGTTTTCCCTATGTGTAATGTGTAGACGAGCCAGTTTTTCTTAGAAAGTCCTCCACTAAGGCATCCCTCTCCTTAGGGAAATAGCCCTCGAGTGCTTTGCCATAATAAAATAAACCAAACCAACCAATAAGAAATATTAGCAAGCCATATATGGGGTTAAAAGTACTTATAAATTTGCATACTTGTCCCAATCAAACTGGGCACTTAAATATCAAGTTATAATCACAATACGTTTTGGATTTTTTTATGTTTCTTTTCCTAATTGCTTATTGTAAATCATGTCTATCTGTTTCACGTTTCTGTGGTCTATTCTTGTTTAGGGCTTTTCATTTGTTCGTAGTCTCATCAAAGTCTCTTCAGTTTGCAAAATGTTTTCGAAAATATATACGTGCATATGTATGCAGGATGGTTTTCACGCGTTTTTTTCCCGTGAGGCAGTCTTTAATTAATAATTTTCGTAAGTTACTTACGATAGGTGCTCAGAAAAGGTAGTTATAGATTTTATTTCCATAACTATTAACTCTAGACACATGTATTTCCAGTTTCCAAAGTTAATACCAAAGAGGGATTGAGAATTTTACAAAAATAGTTTTAAAATTGGTGTTAAGAGGCTTTATAGTCATAAACTTTAACCGTCCAGCAAAGGCTGATTACAGCTGAATGGATAAAACCTCCTAGCATCGGTATTTAACCCAGATTCTAATCCAAGCAAATGAGTTGGCTGCATGATATTCCCGCCCTCCCCATATGCAACGCAAACACGAGACTGTTTACCATAGAATGTTTTCTATGAAGGCATCGCTTCCGTTAAATAGACAGCCTTTTCAGGCTTTCAGGCTTGGTCCTGATGAATTAGTCAATCAATACCAAATATAAAGTGAAACACCAAATGAGGAAATATTGTTTATGCGTTTGTAAGTTAAATATAAAACGTTCTTTACTATTAAGTGAGAAATTCTAGGAGATAGTTTAAATAATAGTTTCATGGAGACTTACTCAAATTTAATTAAGAGTAATGCTTTACCTCATACGGAAGCATTAATCATCAAAATGAATAAATTTTGCTTAGCAGTTTGCCACTAAATCTGATCAAAATCTCTTTTCACGGACAATGAAAAATGATGAGTTAATAAATTGGCTATTTAATACCTTCAGAAATTTTACACGTAGAGCAACAGAATTAATTGCATTTATTAAAACATAATGAATACTTTACTTTTTAGACTTAAGGATCAATGGAACTCATACAAAAACTACATTTAATTTTTACGTATTCAACCCATTCCCAAATTATGAAACTGTTTTTATAATATTTTCTTACTTTGAGGAACTACGTAACTATAAGTATATATATCTAGGTTCAGTATTTAAAGAAAAGGTATTGTCACATTTTTCAAAAAGACTGCTTGGTGAGCATTTATATATACAGGGTGTCCCGTAAATGTTGCGATGAACTTCTGAAGGAGGTAAGGCAGATCATAATGATTAAGAATTGCATTGGAACCCATGCCCAGAAACGTCATTGTACGCCGCCAGGGGTTGCTGTACAGAAGAGTGCTAGTGGAAAGCAAAGAATGTCTATGTAAAGAAGGAAAGGCTCCGTAGACGTAATGTAAACCAGTTTGTCTTCTACGCCGCTAGAAAGAAGAGGGACAATTTGCCAAGGGATTTGGCGACGGAACCTGTTGGGGAGAATTTCCCCTTTTGTGATGTACCTGGCCGAGATTTTCTACCTTCGCCACATGTACAGGAAATTGAGGAAGACGGGTTAAGATGAGTCGCTCTTTGACTTTTCGCAATAATTTAAACTCGAATTTTCGTGCTTTTTTGCTTTACTACTTGAACTTGTATTATCCATATCGCAGTTTGCTGTCTGATTTTATATCTGTCAATATGTAGGGGGAAAATGGTGGTGTGGGTGGTGTATTTAATTATGGCAAAGCATTCGAGGGCTATTTGCTTAAGGGGAGGGATGCCCTCGTGGAGGACTTTCTAAGGGAAACTGGCTCGTATACACGTTACACATGGGGAAAACCACGAAAACACCCATGCAGGCAGCCCGTTCGCGTGAAAAAAATGGAGTCACACAGCTTTAAGCTCTTGATAAACGTGACTGTCGAACCTGTACGAACTTCGACATCAGCTTCGAGCTTTGGTGCTTTTTGGCGACAGATATTTCACACATGCGCAGTTGTGTCCCTTTTCGTTTGGAGGGAGCCACTCCTGCTTCTGCGAAGATTTCCTTCTTAACAATACATATTCTTTGTGGAAAGTGAGGATTGCCTCATTCGAGCGGTAGGTACCATACGAAGAGCATGGAACGCTATACGAACCTATTCCACCAAATGTGAGGCGCAACTTGTGATTCCAACATGATGGGGCGCCTGCTCATTTTGTACTGGGTGTTTGTAGCCATTTGGACAGATCATTCCCGCGTCGATGGATTGGGCGTGGTGGACCAGTTCCCTGCTACCCTCCCAAGGTCACCGGGTTTACCGAGTCTCGATTTCTTTTTGTGGGAAGCCATCAAAAGTGTCGTGTATCACGATCCTGTTGTGTTTGAAATGGATCTCGTGACAAGACTCGCCTGCTCAGCTGCTACCATCAACTCCCAGTGTGTTTGAACATGTCCGGCAATAAATGGTCCGCGGTATCAGGCACGCTTTGCGTCCGATGGTGCCAACTTTAAGCATCTGTTGTTCATCAACATTCAAGCTGTCGTACACTATTTGTATTCACGTCCAATAAATGTTGCAAATTAATCACTCTTGTTTCTTTTCCTGTCTTCTACCTCTGCTACCACTTACCCCTGACACCTGACATTTCCGGGCATGGGTTTCTATTTCAATTCTTAATCCTTATGATGTGCCCTACCTCCCCCAGAAGTTTGTCGCAACATTTACGAGACACCCTGTATAATAAGCCCTCAATAGTATTTAACTGAAACCCAATTGTATTTAACTGAAACCCAATTGTATTTAACTGAAAGCAATTGTATTTAACTGAAAACTTTAGATAACCAACAATATAATGCCCCAATCGCGCTCCCTAGGATGAAATTTTAGAATCTTCCAGGTTAATTTCTAGTCTTTGAAGATAATCTCTTCAGAGTACTACAACTATCGGATTGTGAAAACTTCGCTAAAATTTAGGGGTCGTACTTAGCCTCCTGTATCATTTCAAACAGACACATTTATTTACCACTGTTCAACTTGAAATAAAGAACTGATTGAGGTCTTTTGATATGAATGTCTTTTGATAGTAAAACCGAAATTCATCCTGGTCCTTTCAAAACCAAAAATCCAATATATTTCTATATTTCTAGATTTTTTTTGTTTACATCATATTTTCATGATATATATAAATAGTATATATATATTAAAGATAAAGATTAAATAAATGGCACATATCAA